TCCTGCTTCGTTCCTTCATGCTGTTTTACATATTGAAAGGTTTTTATGAAGACCTTTTTTAACCTGAGTAGAGTTTTAAAGGCTGCAAGGTCTGGCTGCTCTTTCCACTCCCAAAGCATCTGTAGGTACAATTAAGATCTGTGTTAAACCTACTGTCGATTAGCCTCAGGGACGTGAAAAGCATCAGGCCCGGGGAGGGAAGGCTTTCCCTGGCTGAACAGCGAAGGAAGAACAGCAGCCTGCTTTAAAACGGAAAGAAGAAATAAAAGCCTACAGAAAGAGGCTTACCCTACAGAAAAGACGCTTGTCTCGTGCTCAGCAGCCGGTGGGTGCGAAGCCCTGAACGCCGGCCCCGCGGGGTGTGCGCAGCGGGAGGTGCTGCCGCTCATCAGCCCGAGCGCAGGGCACGTCGTTAGCGCGTGGATCGCTGGAGGCCAGCACTTGCCTTGCTGGCTTGCTTTGCTGGTTAGATTTAAATAGTCATTCAGTCGCCCAGACTGAGAATGATGCAGCTACTTCTCTATTCTAAAATGTCCAGGAAAAAAGCTTTACTTATTTGCTGGTTTTATTCTGTCAAAAATTTCCACTATGTTAGAAATTTCTCTTAGTTTAAAAAAATAATAGTGCTTGAATTGGTAGGTTGTTTTCTGGTAGGAAGAAGAGTCTTATTTTGAAACCATCAGAGTGAAAGAGCAAAATTAAGGCTTTCTTCAACCTGAACTGCTGTTTTCGGATTTATGAAAAATCAAATAAATTTCGTTTTTATGGCAAATTTTATTATCATTATTAATTATTATTACTACTACTACTACTACTACTACCACCACCATTTGAAAATTGCTAACAAAACACAAGCCCCTGTAAGCTCTTCTCTAACAAGACTTCTGGGTTCTCCTGTCTGAAGCAAAGGAGTTTGGGAAGATCTGCTCAGCCAGAACTCCCTGCCTCCAGGGCTGCCATCCCTATGCTGCCAAAGAGCAAGTCCTTCTCTGTACCCAGGTTCATCTGTACAGCCCCTTGCAAAGCCACAAGGAAAGGTCCGAGAGGGCCAGCTGAGATTGCCCTCGACTTTGGGGGGCCCTGCGGCACAGCAGACTCGTACGCCCTCCAACCAGCCTGATGTGGTATGAGACAGGGGAGGGAGAATTTCCAGTGGGAAGTATTTTAGTGTGTCTATCCCCAGGTAATGTGTAACTCTCAGGACTGTTCCAGTTAGCCTAGTTAATGCAGAGCTCCGGCTAGTCTTACCGGAGTCAGGGCTGTGCCGGCCAGCCTCAGGACACAGCACTGCTCTTGCTTTGGGTACAGCTCAGGGCACACTGAGCCCTGTCCCACCCCTCCTCCTCCTCACCATTCAGAGCCCAGCGGTCTGGAGGCTCCAAGGACTCGGCTGCACTTTCTGTCTTGACTCTACGCTGCATCCCGCAGGAAGCAAGGGCGACAGTAACAACGAACTGGCACAAACTAAACATTAATTACAGTTAATTAGGGTTTTGGCATCAAAATGCCAAGCTATTCACTTCCTATGACTAATTTTGGAAAAGAGTTGTATGCATGGGGCCATGCAAAAAAGGGCACAGTATTCAAAAAGCCTGGTAAGACCTCTCAGGAACGTGCTGTATTTGACAAATGCCTAGTCGCTGTTTATCACTTGAGACAAATGCAATCTAAAAGATTGTGTTTTCTGCCACAGCTCAGTTCAGCTGCTGGATAACTGGTACCAAAACCAATCAGGCCCCTTTTATCCCCCCATGCCTGTCTTCCATACATGCTAATAAAGGCACTTAAAATCTAATCTCCCTCTTGTCTTCCCGAAATGGAATCCAGAGGAGTCAAATATGACAGTCGTTTTGCAGACAAGGCTCACGAGGCATGAGGGGAAACGTACAGTTTTAGCTCCCTAATAGAGTTTTAAGCCCCTGAGAGAGAAAGGAAAGTCAGCACGTAAATGAGGTGCTTGCTCCAAATAATTAGCACTTCTAGAGCACTCTTCATCTTCAAAGGGCTTTGTGCACATCCTTGTGAGTGTGGTACACAGCCCCCTCTCAAGAGACGGAGAAAGAAGCAAAGGCTATTTCACGATGTTTGCAAACAGGGCTAGGAAAGGGTCTGGAGGTCTGGTGAGGTTGGTACTCAAGAGTTTAGGGGCTGTTTCCCTGCTTACAGAAAGCCAGGTGGATTTCTGCGCAGCTTGCCAGCACAGTAGTTTGGCTCGGCAGGATGGGGAGCTGGCTCAGCAGCGCCGGGCTGTAAGCATTAACCTGGGTCTACAGCCAAACCTCAAGGGACGCATCTGACCTTTGAATAATTGAGCACTGCAGTGAAGAGGCTTCAGTAACTGAGCTCGCAGCGTGAGAAGAGGAGCTGTTGGGGGTCAGGGAGGGAAAGATTCCTCAATTTTTCATTAATGCAAAAACACAGATGAAAACTCTGCTTCAGAATACAAAGGAACAGACCTTTTTGCAGGGGAAAATAACGATGGTGGGGAAGGTTTGGGGCTGTTTTAAGGTACCGTCTATGGTGCCTGCGAGGCTGGTTTTTGCGGGTGTGGCAAGGTCACAAGTATGGTCGGGCCAAGAGGAAGTGCCTCGGGCTCAGCTGGATGCTAAGGAGGCAGAGCTCTCTGAGCTAAGCTCGTCTCAAGGGGTTGTGGAAAAGGCAGCTGCAGCCAGCCTGTTTATCGCAGAATCATAGAATGGTTTGGTGGAAGCATAGAACGTTTGGGTTGGAAGGGACCTTTCAAGGTCATCTACCCCAACCCCCCTGCAGTGAGCAGGGACAGCTTTAACCAGATCAGGGTGCTCAGAGCCCTGTCCAACCTGACCTGGGATGTTTCCAGGGATGGGGCATCTACCACCTCTCTGGGCAACCCGCTCCAGTGCTTCACCACCCTCATCGTAAAAAACTTCTTCCTTAGATCTAGCCTGAACTTACCTTCTTTTAGTTTAAAACCATTGCCCCTTGTCCTATCGCAACAGGCCCTACTAAAAAGTCTGTCCCCACCTTTCTTACAAGCCCCCTTTATGTACTGAAAGGCTGCAATAAGGTGTCCCCAGAGCCTTCTCATCTCCAGGCTCAACCACCCCAACTCTCAGCCTGTCCTCACAGGAGTGGTGTTCCATCCCTCTGATCATTTTTGTGGCCCTTTATCCAAGAAAAGACTGGATTGTAAGAGGAAAATGGCTCACGTTTGTGAGCCCTTTACACAGATGGATCCTGCATCATCCAGCAGCTGCACAGGCTAATCTTACTTGGCTTAAGTCCCCAAGGCCCATAACACACCTTTCCTCCTCTGGTGTAGATGGTCCCTGTGCCCTGGCTGTTAGCAGTAATTTCAGGTTCTCTTTTGTCATGCCTTTTGCATATGGTATGATGATTTTTTTAAATTAATAAACTGTTTCATTGCTTGTCAACAGCAAATATATCAAAAAGACCCAATTACAGTTAGTACTCTTGATATTTCTTGAACCACACACAGGAAAACTGAGAGTTTAGGTTTCCAATGCAGTGTAATTATGCTTGGAATTGAACTAAACCTTTGCTTCAGAGGTTCTCAATGTACTTGTATTCTCTAAGAGAGGTAACACTAGGTAACACTGGTTTCCCAAATTGCATAACTGAGGCATAAGGAGTTCAGAGGATTTGCAGAGTGTCAAACCTCAACGCAACAGGGAAGTAAAGATATAACCCAGGGGTCCAGACCCCTGTTTACTTTCTCTAAGCAGTAAATTTCCCTCCCTCCCCTTAGTACAATACTACAAAACCACTGTTGCTTATATAAAATATTTCAAAGTCAAACAGGCTACCAAGTATATAATAAGGCATCAGGACTGACTGCTCCAGAATAAGAAAGCTTTTGCAAATCTAGCAATTACTTTAAAAAGACCGATTCATTTGAAAAGAACTATCTCACCAAACATTTTGCAAGAATGATGATATGTTATCCCAAGGAAATTTTGAGGTGACTTTTAGAAATTACACTCAGCCATGGAACAAAGGGAGGCAATGGAAATATTCACTTCTGCTCAGATATTTTTAATAAAGGAAAGCTTGTTAAAAATAAACTGTAAAGAAGATTTGGGCGGAATCACAAATCATCTCATTAGCATTTGGGGGAAAAAAAGCAAAGATGAAATATCAGCTTGTAAAGCCTTTTCTGCAAAGCCAATTTTCTCCCCCTTCCATCTGGTTTATCTGTATTCCAAAATTCTCATTTTCAAAGAAGTTTCTAAAATGGCAATTCCGGACTGTTTTTGTTCTTACTAAACAAAGCAATGTACACCCAATATAGAAATATAAAGAGGAATGCAATGAATTAGACTTTTTTTTTTTTTTGTCTGACAGTTGATTTTTAAAGCCAAACCCAGGGTTTAAAAAGGAAAAAGATGTGGGTGATTTCACACCTGCATTGCTTCTTACCCTGAAAAGCAACCATGGGGCTATCTGAGTCTTTAGTCCCTGGTCAAACACAAGCTGACATCAGTGATCCAGCAAGGGACAGCATCATAGCATCAGACCTTTAACAGGAGGGGCACCCCCCAGCTCTTACAAGACTGACAGGGAAAAAGGAGACATGGCAAATGCAAAAGCAGCATATGAAGGGCAAACTGGAAATTCTGCTGTAGACAAGAATTTGCAATTTGCCCAATGCCATTTCTCAACATTTTGTGGACTCTGATCTGGAGAAGAGCAGTAAAAAAGCGACACTTTCCTGCAATGAAATGATTAGAAAAGCAGACTATAAAAATGGCACTACAAAGAAATATCTAGAATTTAAAGGTGGTATTCAAACAGACGATCTTTATTTTGCAGTTTATTATCTTTGAGCATAACTTTTTATGAAGAACATTAAAATGAAGGTTAAGAGAAACTTACCCCATAGACCAGTTCACCCACCATGCCATTCCATATCTTAGTCTCAGGGTCCCTAGCTCCATATTTCCCATCTCCAACAATTGACAGTTTGTATTTTATTCCAACATGTTTTGCTATTTCAGAAGCTAAGTCTACACAATATCCTTCATATCTCTCATTCCCTTCTAGTTGTTCATGGTTTTTCTTATACATTACATATGGTGATTCCTTTGAAACAAAAGTAAAGATCAAAAGAATGTAAAACACAGCTTTAAAACACACAAAACGAGAGCTGTTATTATCCTTTATATTACTGGCAAGTATTTACAGTATTTCCTGCTTTGGTACAGAAATTAGAAAGACAAACTTCCGCAGTTTAAAAATCCTTGGCTGATCCTGCAGCCACACATACTATTGATTTTACTTCTAGTGTGGGCCCACTGAAGACAACAGGACTATTCCACTTTAACAAAGCCGCATTTTTGTTTGCAGGATTAGTCCTGATTAGACAGTAAAATAGCATCACTGTAGTAATAATTCAGGTTTTAGTGTTTAAAGAACTGATATACCCAACACCTGTACCTTCAAAATAATTTTCTAAGTCCCCAGTGGCCTAGAATGGGGCTCTGATGGAGGCATTTTCAAAGCAGCCTAAGGGAAGCTAGGCTAAAATCCTCAGCAGCAATTTTTGTCACTAAATTCCCTTAGCCTTCTTGGAAAATTCTAGCTGAAATGCTGATTATATCTTGCTAAATCCATAGGAGTATAAAATACAATGCTTCAGGAAATAGCATAAAATTGGCTCATGCTTAGTAGAATTGTAACAGGCATAAAAGTCACAAACAATGCTGTACAGAGCACATCTGCTAGAGGCATTGGGACTGACAGAGGTGCTGCTGTTTAGGAGACACGGGAAGAGCTTTACTCCTTTGGAATTGCACGGGTACAGGCTGCTTTTCACCCAGTGCTAGAGCAGTTCCAGTCCTCTACACGCTTCATTGTGCCACCCTTACTCAGTCCACAGGGGCTGAGTTTACAGGAGCTGTACCTGAGTGAGGGGTACAAGATTTGACCCTAGAGCAGGAAGGTCAGATCCTGCGATCATTTACATACATGCATAATAACTTCACTTATGCGAGGTGTTTGATTGAGTTCAAGTGTCTGAGAAGCAGCAAAGTGCAATGTTGAGCTCAATGAGCTCCTCCTGCGAGCAAACTTATTGATACACATAGAAGTTTGCAGAGTCAAGCGCTCAGTACGTCTCTGGAAGATACTGAACTTTTCAGTCACTTGAAGTCACACAGTATTCAACATTTGCCTCCTGGCATGGTGTCTAACACACCTCAGGAGCCATGTGTCTTGTTTCCTAAACACAAACACACTAAGAACATAAAACTTACCAAGATGGTAGTGACTACTATAGTTCTGTTCTCCACAGATGAGGTGTCATTAGAGGGCAGCTGATCTAACGCTGGCACAAATCTTTCATATTCGTTCCAATAACCAACCTATAAAAACGCAGACTGTTACCTCATTACATACATTTACAAGGACTCTGGTGCATGAACTTGCAACAGGAACTGTCAAAACACACGGCTTATGTAACACTTATTCATGCAACATTTTTGCCATTAAAGGACTACATTAGCTTTAATTTAATTTCCTTAAAGAAATAATGTTCTCAAGCCCTTATGCAAATAAATACAAGCCAAATCTAAGTGAAAATAAATATTAAATTCTCCCTATCTAAATTCACATCATCATGGTGCCCGTGGAATAAATTGCCATGTATCCACAGCATAAGAATATGCTATAGACAAGAAAATAAACTGCACAACACTCTGAGTAAAATTTTTTGGTTTTGAAATTTTTATCCATATTCTGCTGCAGTTCAGACAGTGAATACAGTCCTTGCAGACATGCCTGAGCTAGCTTTAGAGTAGATGCACAGACATCGCTAGCAATGCAGCACAGCAGCGTTACCTTCAGTACGGGATACAAAACTCTCTGTGAGCACGAGGTGACTATTTCTCAGCTGGCTTGTGCTGACCTTCATGGTGCTGTGGCTACGTTGCTATGCTATTACACTAGTTTTTGTATCTCTGCGCAACACAGAAGTAACACTTTTGTCTGCACTGTAAACCTAGCTGAATGCCAGGGCCATGTCCAGAGGTATTTTGTTATCAAATATGTGCAGAAGAGTTTGAGTCGTCTCAACGGTGCCTAAGCACGTTAGGTGCCTACAGTCAGGTGAAATCAGGGGGATTTACAAGCCTTGGCCACACAGATTCTTCTCTTGATACTCCTGAGACCCTGTCTACCTAATTATTATTGAAATCTGCCCTAAATTTCTTTTATAACAGGGATCTAGGCAACTATCCCACTTAGGATCTATACTTTATTTAGGAGGCAAGATAATGAGTAGCAAATCCTAGTTAAAACCAAATGGATTTTCTGTTAATTTCAGAAGGTTTCTAAAATACACCGGCTCCAGCTTCACTATAGCTCCGAGGCCTGTTATGGAGAGGAAGGGAAAGATGGGGAGGAATTTAGGAGATACAGCTGAGCTCAGGACTATGCCAGCAGGTATTATGCTTGGCAGTGGAAAAGCTCCAGAAGGGTTTTAAGGAAAAAAGTGGGGTCTGAAAGTCAACATGGAAACCAATGAAGACAGTAAGCAGGGCGAGTGGTTTGGTCCAGGAACAGAATAGAACAAGGTCCCTGGGACAGGGAAGACAGCAAGAAGATGGTTTTTCCTCGGGGCCCTGTTATTACAACACCTGCGTGGTATTTTTGGGTTTCATTAGTTTGTTGGAATAAATACTTGTGAAGATGTGAAATCTGGATGCCTATCTTGAAACTCACCTTCCGTGATCCAGTGGCTTTCATTTCATACACATCAATCGTGTAATTTGTTCTCCGCCCGTAGGTGTCGAACTGGATGTTCCCTGTCATTCCTTGAACTTGCACCTTAAGGAAATAAACAGAAGAAACATTTTAATAAAAGATTCACTTTATTTTTCCCTATGTTACATTTTGCAGGAACCCACTAGCTCTAGTACAATTTTTATCTACATAAGAGACTTGCAGCACTTCCAACACAGCCTGTTATGTTCTTTGTAGCAAAACCAATCCCAATTCTCTCAGTTTCAGCTGTACAGATTCTTTGTTAGTTAGTACTCAGCTGGTGACTCACTACCGCAGAGTGAGCTGCATTTAAGTATAAGTGAAATTAGCCCTGCACGTATGTTAAATGTAAGAAAGACCGATTCTGCCGTGCTTAGTCACGCTGGGTTCACTGATACAGCATGGAGCATCAGTGAGACACATGCAACAATTCAGTGCCATTAAAGCCCTCACAATATGGTACAGAGTGATTTGCGATATGGACCAGAATCCCATATCATTGCTCATTCCAGGAAGTGCTTTATTTTAAGATCAGTCCCAGTGTAGGAGAAAGGAATGAATGTCTTCTCTGAATGAGCACAGACAATTGTCTCTATTGCTTATGGAGTTTTGGTCTCAATCGGGATGGATGGGTGTATAGACGGTAAGTCATTATCATTACCTACTCACATGAATCATCTGAAGGGGAAATATAAAGTACTTTGTTTCAAAGAAAAAAATCTTTCTTATTTCCCTGTATGAAAGGGTGAGATATTTCCATTTACCACTTATCAACACTGACAAGCTGTCATCTCAGGCAGAAGGGGTAACAGCCTGAAACTTCAGTAGGGGTAAATTAGCTTTAATGTTTAGCAAAATGCAGTAGAAATTACAGGAATAGGTGATGGAACACTAGTCAAAGGGAAACTGTTCAGGGCTGGGGACTGATCTGCTATTTTTGGTTTAGAGATGGTGCAATCAAACTTGTTATGGTGGACAAGGCTACGTAAAACAGCCAAAATTCCTTGCATCCCAAATTACCCAGTGAGCCAAATTCAGACTGACATATAAGGAGTGTGATTTTTTTTTTTTATCAGTAAGTGGATTTGAACCTTTCTTAAAATAGTTTATATCATTTCAAGGTCTGGAAGAACATGTAAGTTACTCCTGTCTCCAGAAAGCTGGAGAGGTGCATGGGACTTTGAAAGGCAAATTTGCCCCTAAGAGGTCTTATCAACTGCAGACTGAGCAAATGTATTTGTAGTGTAGTTGACATATAACTTGCAGCCAGATGTGAGTTGCTGTGCCTGCTTCTGGCACTTGCTGGAAGCTGTCTGGCTACCTTAGCACAGCAGTGACTGTATGTCTCAGCAGAGCTTGTTAGGCCAACTTCATCCTGATGCGTATGGAGACAGGAGCATTGTACACTTGACACCTTTTGACTTCAAATTTAATTTGTTTCTATCTTTGGTGGGAAAACTCAGCACTTTTCAAAATCTGGCTGCACCGAGGCAGGAAGACTCACCAGGACTCAGAACGCTTCTGGTAGCAGCGTGCGGAGGCAATCACAAATGGAGTGACTATTTATAATTGCCCCGATCTGTTCAGGTGAACTGTCTGCCACCGATCTGATGTCTTAGAATCAGCTTTAGAAATACAGACACGCAGTTTTCAAGGCTGCAGGGAAGCAGCCTCAGGTAATGCCTATTTCCCTTTTGCCAGCAGGATGACTACAGTGTGGCACGGAACCTTCTGCTGGCACAGGATATTTCAGGGACGTCTTGGAAAAAATATTCTAATCTGAGTTGTTGTTACAGAGTGGAGAGGAAACATTGTTAAATCAAGTTTTTTTTCCTGAAGCAAAGATTCAAGATCATTGTCTGAATAGAGGGAGAGAGTGTGATGGACAGGATGGGGTCTGGAAGGCAGTGTGGGATGATCTTGGGTAGCACTTGCTGGAGGCGTATATAAACCTCACTTAGATGACTTTGAATAGCTAAAACAAAACAAGGCAACCAGCTGAAAGTCAAACTTCTGCATTTTTTGCCAATCATGAGTTTGGCGTTGTATATCTTATGAATTATGTTTTTTAAATAAATTCTCCTGAATAAGGGAGTTTCCTGTAGCAGTCTTGGTTTTCTTTGTTGACATGAATGCCTCGTATCTCATTCGGAGGAGTTGCATGTTTTGTTTGTAACTGAGTTCAAATGGACAGTACAAATTCTTTAATGACTGTGACGGCTGAATTTAATTAACTTCTTTTCAAAAGCGTGTAATACTACATTAGTGAACGTGAACGTAGGGCATTTGTTAGGAAGTGACATAATGGCATAAAACCAGCTCTGGCAATGTGAGACTAAACCATCTCTCTCACTCTTAAGAGTGACATAATCTGATTATAATTTTCTATAACTCATTATAACCTTCTGATATAATCCTTCCAATTTGGTAATTGAGAAAAAGCAGTAATTAAGCTAAGTGTATGAAGGCTGACCTAGGATTTGTTTATACCTAGCAGGGCTTAATTCTGATCTCACTCACTCTGGTTCTATGCCTGCATTAATATAATCAATTCTAACACGTTTGTTTTGGAGTTATTTGAGCCAGATCAAAAGCAGACCAAATTCTTGTCTCTTATATCTACAAAAATGTTATCCAATTTTTCCTGTTGTCACTTGCTTTAACACACACAGCAGTCTAAAGAGAGTTAAAAATCAACAAAATTAGAGACATAAGTGAGGGAGGATCCCATGCAGTAACTAGAGTTAGGGATAAAAAATAGGCCATGCACAAGGTAATCAGGCTGAGTGCAAAGTTATGCCAGGAATCAGAACTGAGGCTAAACTGTGTCAAGGTTCAGGCTGGTGCTGAAATCCAGCAGTATTGCTATGACTGACAACATTTTTTCCACTGCTTTAAACCAATCTGAGTTGTCTTTTTACTGGCAAATTATCAAAATTGCATACACGTGTTTAAGTTCATAAATACACGTATCCCTGCAAGATTTACAATACACATGCTGAGGACCCAGTCTACTTCTGTTAGTCAGATTTGCAGCCTGAGCCTGGCTTTAGAAACCCCCAATACATGTTCGTTTGCAAAATGGCTCATCCTCACTCTCACATGAAGCTTGGATGTCACGGGGGAGTCAGACTGGAGGTGCTCTGGTGCGGACAACCAGGCAGCTGCTGCACCGGTGCCACAGGGATGTGATTTTGGCCAAAGTTTTGAGAGCTAATTTGTTATGCCTTGCCCTCTACTGAATGTCTTTCAGCCACCCTTTGGAGTTTGTCATTAGAGTTTCTTTTTTTTTTTTCTTTCTTTTCCTGAGGAGCTGCAGCTGTTTGTGTGAGTACAGGAACTCTGTGTACATGGAGTAGGATGCAAGTTCAGTCCCAGCGGAACTGCTGCTGTTGTGGAATATACACATTCATTAGCTGGCATGTTTGCCCTTACCATTTTCAGCGCTCTTTCTATATCAATTCCTTGGCTCCACGGTACTGCAGGGTTAGCCAGGCAGTCTCCAGCACTACCTCTCCTGGAGACATCCACACGCTGTCTTCGGAGGTAACGGAAAGCCTCTGCTATGACTAGGACTGCATCATGGGTCAGTGCAGACGTATACTAAAATTGATGCAAATAAAATACGGTGACAAACTGCAATCTTAGAGTTGTCCCAGGTTCATCAGGTCTAGCCCTTCTCTTTGTTAAAATACTCTTAGAATCATGCTTGCAAGCCCTTTTGCTTGCTCTGTCTTGCCGCAGGTGCTTTATGTAGTTTAGCAATCCACCTATTGCAATTAACAAATTAAAAATATTTTCATTTTGCGTAGCATATAGCAGCAAAATAACAAAACCAGTTTATAGTTGCATAAAGTTTAAATTTAATTGGAAGTTTGCTCATCTAAATGAGATCACTACAAAAGTCTGCAATTCCATGCTGGCCTATAATGCTACCAATAGCAAATAAGAGCTCATATCTGGTTTTTGCTTGAGTATTCTTTTTCTTTTTAACAAGACTGCCAAGACAGACAGTTTTGAATTAAAGTTAACATAAATCATTTCTGTTTGGACCACAATCCTGATTAGGTAGCATCTGTGGCAAGGAATAGATCAGATTACTTTTCTTAGAAGACAGCTATACAAGCAAGTAATCACAAAATACACTTTAGGCATTACATCTCCTTGGTAACTGCCCATCTGCCTTCTCTTACTCCACGGTATATCTGAGGAGGGTGGTAAGCTTTGTGTAGCAACAACTCTTGAACAAAACCCCCAGACTCCTTAACTACTTGTTCACGCTGCTGTCAACATCATCCATTACCTGTTGTATGTATCTGGCGACACCCCCCAATTCTGTAATTTGGTGTCACCTACGAAATGTCATGGAAGTGGTTTTTTCACATTTTTTTCCACATTTATGTGTTTGTCTGGAAGTTCTTCCCTCCCAGAGTGGCCCAGGCTTTGCATATGACATCACTGGTTTGCACTGTCGTTACGGCACACCTGTAACTTAAGGGTCTGCGCACAGGAGACCATTTCAACATGTACATACTGGGAGCAATTGAATGTGCTCAGCCTGTAAGACCAGATTTCAAACCCCTTGTAACTGACCCTCTGTATTTCCACAGCATTTGTAAGGGAATGAAGAGAAGAAAAAAGGAATGTAAGGGGTATCTGCATGTACTGGTGTGCCTGCCCTTCTTTTGGCTGGCTGTGTGATACCGCAGAGTTCCTGGCTCCTGATGAACCCTATGGTGGAGTTAGGGCCAGAAGACATGCTGCCCATGCGTGAATTAGAAAGGCGGAAATCCAAGTTTCAACTGCACGTTCAGCTACTCTCTTTGTGGATAAGACTTATTAAATTCAGAAGTTAATTCTATCCTGTAGGGCAGGATAGCACAATTAGTATTTATTAAAAATGTGTATTATCTTATTGCAAGCTCTTCAGTTTGATATAAAGCCTTAGGAAATCTGCACAGAACAAGGTGCATCTGCATGTGCAGATCAAGAGAATCGTATCTGATAAAAAAGAGTGCAAAGGTAGGATTGTGAAGAAGGTTATACAGCAGCCATTCTTACTGAGTTTTAAATGACTGCAGTTTATAAACTCTTACTGGGTGTGTGTAGGGTGGTTCCTGCTCTGACTGTATCTAGGTACAGGCATTCTTTTGATCCCGCCCACCTTTACCTCCTCCTGTGATGCTTTGCAATGATCACACTCTCCTCTTTTAGCAAGTTAACAAAGGTTATACGTCACATTCCACACAACAATATGGAATCAGATAGTAATTTTAAGGTATTTGTTCTTGTATTAAAAAAATCTTGTAATAGCTGTCCAATCTAGCACTATGTAAAACTTACACGCTGATAATTTTTTCAGCAGACTGCGTCAATTGTCAGTAACCTTAATGCAGTTCCTTCTAAGTCATGCCAAGAGAGCTATCTAATTTTCTACTTTATTTGAATTCTACTTATAAATGCATGAGCATGCAAAGAGAAAAAAGAGAGAGAGAAGGGTAAGGCTGATAAAATACAGAATAAATTAAACATCAGGGCTTTAATCTCTAGGCAATTTTATTTCCTAATCAAAAATATTGTACATCAATTTTTAAGTATGCTTTTTGTCTGATTGACAAATACTGCACACATTTCTATAATGAGTGGTACATTTGTGGAAAAGTAACGTAATCTTTGTGATGGTACCATATACTTAAGATTATTTTTTAAGAATGGAGAATAATTTTTCCCTCAAGGTAAATTGCTTTCAAGTGGAATAAAATCTTCCCAAGTTAACTTCATATATTTCAGAGCTTTTAAGATTAGTATGATACTTATCTTCACTTTTGCATCACTGCTAGGAAGCTTTAGAAAGCAGGCCTATGTCCTAATCAACAGAGAACAATACACTAATCCGAGTTTTGTGGGCCTCTGCCTTTCTTTGCTTCCTCTGAAATGCCAGCAAGACTGTGGGACAGCGTGGGATTAAGTTAATTTTCCTTCCCCATAGAACTCACATGATCCCAGGGATGGAAAAGTATGCCTCCAAATGGCATTGGCTTTCTGGCAGCAGAACTGCATCATCGGTTCCTGTTCTGTCTGTAGTCCAACACCGTGCTACCACCTACCCTGGTACCCTCCCATGCACTGGACTGGACTAGATTCTTCCTTTCTAGCTAGTATTTTATGCTTCCCTGAATTTTGTCTTACTAATATCAAGACATTACTCCTGCTTATCGGAGTAATTTTGAATTCCAAATCTGTTCATCAATTTGCATGTCTCCCTCCCAAATCAAGCCGGAAAGACATGAACTGTCTCATCGTGGCTGCGGTTCTTAGATAGGTTTGGCTTCCCTGAGACAGTCAGCATACATGATGTGGAGGACTGGACTCCTGGGAGTGACAGAATTTAAGGTCCTCTCATCCACCACCACTCCCAGCTTTCATTCACCTATGCGTATTGATGAAAAAGAACAGGCCTCACCAAAAGACGAAGAGAAAGAAGGAACATAATAGGAATATTAATAATAAGCAGTGGTCCTAGAAGATTTGATAACTTCAATCACTGGACAGAGTATCCTTGATGCACTCCTTGACTGGACAGTGAATAGCATCCCTCTCTGCTAGAGAGATGCCAAGGCAGAAAAAAATCTGGGGGAGATATTAACAGGTTGCGAGTCTCCTACTAACAGTAGCCTTTAGTTCACCCATTGGAAATTTTATTGGTTGCAGATACAATATTCAGAGTGTTTAAGAAAAGGACAGTGGTGCAAAATACGGGGTTAAGATTATGAGAGCAACTGTCAGCAGTGACTACAAGGTAGAAGTGGCTCCTCAGTGAATCTAGAGCTACTTCATCTTGCACATGAAATTCTCTATTAGCATTAAAATTGACTAGTGACCCACAGTTTTGCATCTAAAAACTAACTTAACTAGCCCCCACCCCTACCCCAAGACTAACTCAAGAAGTTCAAGTCAAAAGTTTTTACATCCACTGCACAATGACAGGATTTGCAAGACCAAGCCTTTGTCTCTGAGGAACTCCCACTGTGGTGAGCACTTGTGTCCAATTAAAACCCTCTGCCTCTTTCACTCTTCTGGAAGGGCAGTGAATGTTGCAACATATTTTAATCAGGGATCTGTATCATACACATGCACACACCTGAGGTTAAAAAAACCCAAATAATTGTTAAAAGCATTTCATGCAGTCTCCATCATTCTCAAGGTAAAATAAATACCTTTAATGGTGAGTTTTTGGCTTCAGGGAATTCTCTCTCATCGAGCCTCACCCAGCGTTGTAGAAACTGTTGAACCATTGGGTTTTCATTATTAACAATCTGGAATCCAGTAACGTTGGCACCTCCATGCATTACTCTCTCCAGAACAATGTCTGTGAAACCCTGGGAGGACACATGTAGAAAACAAGGATCACTGCCATCCAAAGTCTTTTTTCTTGGCTCAGTTTTACCTGCTATAAGCATAGCACAAAAGAAACTGATTAATTTCCCCCTTGTTAGCTGAAAATATTCTACCAAGGAGACAATTACTATCACAACTGGGATTGTGATAGCAGCATAGAATAAAATTTAAAATGTCTTCTTGTTCAGACCTTTGTGATAGAAAACTGCCTTGCTGTGTTGTGGCAACATGGTACGTAATATTCACTGGTCAGACAGAAAACCGTGGGGAAACTTGAAGAACTGCTTCCTCTTTTCTCCTCATCATGGTGAAAACAGATCAAAGACCTCAATCCCATTTGTACAGCGAAGCACGCATGAAGGTTCAGCGCTGGAAGCAGAAAACCACTTAACGCCCATATTGTTCTGTGGAGGCAAGGCGCACACCTCCTTGCTAGGCAGTTCTCTGTCAGCGCATCGCTTAACATTTCACTTGCAGACAGAACGGTACGATTCTCTCCCACTGTTGTTATTTATACCTGAGGCAGTAAATTGGTGTCTTTTTGATTAGTATGACTTGATTGCAGTCATGTTTCTCTCAATGTCAACGGTTACACATGCTAAAAGGTAACCCAGAATAAGAACCCCTGTATTTCTATGCACACGCTAATCAGTGAGATCATGACTGGTTCTTATAATGCAAAATGACACATCTTAAAGTCATACAGTACTTATACTAAATAAGGGTATTTTAGAATTTGTCTTTTCTGCTTTACTCACACCAAAACATGGATACAGAAAATCTTCTAAGTGGAATTGCTAACTTGAAAGTGTGAGTTTTGGAAAAATATTTTTCCACTCACAGTAGAAACAGAACCCAAAAATTAGTCTTGCTGCAGGATCAATTACAATATAACACTTTTTCTAAGGAACTCTAGCAGATGGTGCTTCAAAGACATCATAAACATCCCTGAAAGTCAATTCTAGAATCCAGAAGCAGCTCTGATACAGATAAAAATGTACTGTCTTGTCCTGGTATGTCAACACATATACAGGCACCACCCTGCTCTCTGAAATACAAAAGGACAGCTAAACAGCCTGGCTGGTTTACTTGATGGAATTGTTCGAACTTGCAGCTTTTTACCACTTATTTTATACACAAATATGCAAAAATTATTCTTCCTGGAGTGCTTAAATTGCAAATATATTACATAGAAGATTACGGTTATCAAGTGTCTTATTTATGAGGATAAAAATTAGTGGAAAACATACACTTAAATTATTATTTTAAAATTAGTAGAGGATATGAGCTTCTTAGACAAAAGACCATAATTGAGTTCAAATGGCTATAACATACCAGTTCTAGTATTTACTGAAGTAATTTCTCAAAATCCAAGAACTCATCCATCCATTTCCTCTTTTGCTGATTAAAGTTGCCACGACCTGAACAGAATATATTACCCTCTAAACCTTAGCTATACTTGTAATGAAGAAAAGTTCTTACCAGGTTAGCCAACATGTAGTGATAGCCTCTAGAATGTTTGCCGAGGATTACAACCTGTGTGAAGAAAAAAATTACATATTATTCGGTTGTAAGAGGATGACTCTTCACTAGTGGAAAACACCAGGGAATTAACATTTTGGTAATCCTTTATGCCCAATCCATGGGCAGCACGAGTATTACAGACTTGGGGCTTTACAGATGCGATGCATTCGTTTGTGTTTTTAAAACACACAGAGTACAAAGACGGGTAACTCACAAGGCTGAGAAGACTCCACTCGCGGAGATGACCTCACCTGGCAATCTCACCCTTCATCACAGCGTCTCCCTTGCTGACCAGGTTAATTTTAGTTATCAGTTCAAGTATTTCTGCTCTGAAATGAGGCAACGCTATATCCATTTACTTTTTTCCTTCTTTGTGGAGTGTATGAGAGGTGGGTGACACAGCCCAGCCACTCACTGTGTTTATTAAACTTCACCAGCACAGCGGGGCTCGGTAGGCTCCAGGGGTACAGGGGGTTTCCTGCCATGAGAACCCTGGCCAAGCCTTGTCATATATGAATGCTTAAAGTTAAATTCCTAAAGTCATAAGCAGTGACCTTCATTGCCTTTTGACAGCTTTCAAAAGGCCTGAAAACTTGTCACTTCCAGTGCATCTAAATGGACACATCTGACCTTACACGTTTAGCCAAAAATTATACTAAATGTGGTGCTGCACATTCCACTAAACCAACATCTCCTGTCCTCCCTGACCCCACTTGGGCATCTCTCTGTACAATGGAGTCTTTAAATGGAATTGCTAAAAAAAGACAAAAAAGCAGCGGAATGAACTGAGCAGCTGGATTGTGTAAGGGTAACGGGGAGGAGTGGAGGCAGCACTGTCTGGCAAGCCTGAATTCTGCCATCCTGTGTACTTGTCCCCACTCCAGTAATACTGTGCTTTTGCAGAAAGGAGGAAAAAACACAGTTCCCATGTCTACGCAGCTAGCTGCTGGCTCACCAGCAATACCCCTTGTGCAAGATTATGCCACTGCATTTCGATTCCCTTGCCTTCAGATTATAATCTCAGTAACATCCATCCAGTTCCACAGCCGTCAGGTGGAACAATGTCCAGCAGTAAGAATTTAATTAATAATTGTGGTGATTATGTGTGTGTCAGGACAGAACCAAACTTACCCAGACTTGCTGGCTTAAACTAATAAAAGTTAAAAATAGCAAACATAATGCTGGTGCTACACCTCAGGTGTGTCACTGACTGTAACCTATGAGCAGCTCAAGTGATGATGCTTTTTGACGGAGAATCATCTGAAAATCTATACATACTATACATACTTCTCCACGGTCACAGATAAACGCTCCAAATGCCATACTCTAAAAGACATCTTTTCAACATGACCACTTACATCTTTGCTAAAAACAGATGACATTTGAGTCATCGACTTTAGATATACTGCTGAGCCCGTTGAAGTTCTTGATTAAATTATTAAGTTCCCAATCGCCTCTTTGGGTTGTCTTGTCCTTAACAGATGCCATTTCTTTTAAACTCACATTTAATTCTGTAGGAATTTGCATACTTCCAGCAGTCTGAAAATAAATTGCTGTTCAGGTCCTCTTGAGAACTGTATGTACACTCTGTTGGTAGAAAGTATCTGCTTTCCTACACTCATATTTGTTTTCTATGGAAATGTGCAGGCTTCCTTCACATCATCTGGTGCGCGTGCGATTTGCATACTGAATTCTCGGTATGTTTTAATTCCACCTTAAAGGCAGCAATTTACTTTTAAAAGGTTAGAGACAAAGAAATTATTTAACAGCAATACTCTTTATCATTTTAACCTTAATAACAAATAAGAAAGCTTTTACATTTCTATCCAGAAATGTGTTTATTTAAGAGAAAAATACCACAGCAGATGAAGTCAGAGGCTGTAAGAAAAACATACATGGAGCTGCTACAGGCATCAGGAGCAATACTGCAAACAGGAAATGTAGGACTCATTAGCATAGATCAGACTCAACTTCTATCTCATCTGTTGTCACGTCTCCAAAATGACCAGAAATACGTCTGTTTAGTCCCTTAGAGAGGTCCAACGTACTACAGTCAAGCTTTAATTCATAAACCATCTTTCAGAAGTGACCTGCCAGTATTTCTACTTGTACAATCAACCATGTTAGTTTGTAATTATTTAACTGGATCTTAACAATGTTTTTAAAATTCACTACACATGCTGTCCTAAATCTTAACCACAACTCTCCTCCTCCCTCACTTTCTGCCCTCTACCAACTGTCCAGCATCTTTAATGGAGCTGCCGGATTAGCGAGCCCAGCAGAAACAATCACAGACATCATCAGTGTTACTCCCAGGGGAGCGAAGGGAGGGATAAAACTTTTTTATGAAGAAGGAAAACAGGAGTATAACAAATAAATCTTACCAACTGCTTATATATTATGAAGCTTATATAGAAAGTTGGATATTGAATAGTGGTGGTGAATAGAAAGCCAGGATTACAGGACAAGGATTTCAGAGCTACACGTCTTTGGTAAGTTTCACTTCCGAGACTTAATATTGCTTTCACCTTGACTGGAAGAAAAGCTTGTAAGATTTTATACTGAACAAAGGAGGAGTGAAAAAAAATGGCTGGAAACTATCATGAATAATTCAGACTTCTGATCCCATACAATTCTTGCCTTGTAGATAAAAAGATCATAATGTCATGTTTGATATAGAATCAAATAAAGTTTGTATTTTTAATTAACTCTTTGGATATTTCCAATTAATTCAGAGAAAAACCTAGAGGGAACATAATTAAAATGTATCTGGTTTTAAACTAAAACTCAAACCTGCTGGCCAGCACCAGGCTTACTGGAAGTACAGACCTATATGCCAGATTTGAGAAATTATTGCCAATTTTAGCTTTTCATTTGCCTGGGGAAGTTATTTTTTGAATGCAAGCATAAAGACAACTTGGTTTCCACAGCACCATCAGGATCAGCTATCTGTGCTGACTTCACTTCATGGGAACAGCACGGATATCAAGCACAGCAACAACTGTCTGGCAAGACTAAACTGTTGTGGAGCACACACTGTCTTTTCTCCTGCGTATCACATCAGGTGTTTTCTAGGTTCTATCCCTATTGATAGTGTTTCTGTTCTGAGGACGAAGTTACTTAAATCTTATCTCAGATCTGAGCAGCTCCTACCTGATACTGGACTGAATGATTGAAAAGTTGTGCCCTGTGACGCAGCAACCCTATTGGACCAGTGACACTGGCTAATTTGGTCTTCAGGACACACTTAAGAAAGGAGAGGAACAGAGTATCAGGGTGACAATCCAATTAGTTCAATAAAAGCTGAAGTCAAGGCCCAAAAAGTTCTTGTCAGTATGTTAGCAAGGATGTTTAGCTTATCTTGAGTGGCATCTGCAATGTACTGCATCTCAGCTCTGTTTCTACCATGCAAGCAAAGGTGAAACTGAAGAAGCCCTTCAGCTGGACAGCAGAGTCCTCTCCCTGGCCTCCCTCCCACTCCTGCAGACCCTTGCTACAGTGGGGGAGCTGCCCATGGGGCTTGCAGCCACTGCACTTCAGTTCTCCGGGGTCAGTGCACTGTTAACAGCAACGTAGTTACCTTCTACAGTGTTATCGTGTGAGCAAAGGTGCAACAGCATTTGACAGCCATGCATAATCATTCCTCGCTATGTTTACTTTGCTCAGGTCACCCCTTGTCATGTAAATTTTCCAGATAGGAGCAGGATAAATAGGGGAACAAAAAATAAAAGCTCTCCTGAAATGTGAACAGGATTTTCCTCGTCTAACCAGATGCCACAGTAAAAATAAGATCCCTTGTAACCTCAGTTAGATCCTTTTACTGTAAGTTTGCAGAGCCCACTCCCGTTTTCAAATTTACACACACATGCTCCTGCAGAAAGAGGGAGTTCTCTTTGAGGATTATAACCACTAGACAAGGCTTGATCTTCCCTCAGTACATTTATAAAAAATAGCTTTTTCGGTGTTATGATTTTGCCTCTTTCTATCACACCAACAATGCCAGCACCAATATATGAGGTTCCAAAGGAACTGCAATCCTGCGATGGCCAAAGATACTTCACAGCCATGGTCTGTCACAGCCAAACAAGTGATACTCGTCCTGCCTTTAACTCCACGGAAATAAAGCCATTTCTGCTTTATTTAGATGCAGCTTCCCTCATACAAAGGGTCAAAACCTCATGATTGTAATTGTACTGCAAACCCAGGGAAGGCGATTTATTTCTTCACTTAGTATTAACGGGATGGGAATCTGGCCACCAGGGAATTTGATGCTGTAAAATATGCAGTAAACAATGATTTCATTTATATGAAGAATGAGTACTATATTAAATTTGAGTTAAATATTAAATGAAGAATGCATTAAATATTAAGATGAAGATTCCACACACGTACTGTTTGTTGCAGATAAAAGTAACTGCATATATAGTTGAGATTAATTCATCCACCATTTCAGAGGCTTCGTGTCCTTTAGGGAATGTCACAAATTCATACACAGTCCCAATTGCTGGATTTTGTGTATTTGTGCAGTATATGGACCTTAGAATTTTACTTCCATGCAACTGCTACATTATACATTTGTGACTACACCTCATAACCAAAATCCTACCTTCCTCTACAGCACAGTATCAAGATCATTTGTTTGGGCTTACAAAACATTCTTCAAACAGCTTTTGGCTCTTCTGCAATGTATCTCTCATGGGAGATAAATCCCTTAGAGAACAGGAATCTCCTAGAAGAAGGGGACAAAAATACGCATGGTGGAAGCAGGGATCTGAGATGCCTCTGAAGCATTTTATCAAAGTTTTTTCCTCCCTGGCCCCCTTGTTGTGCCCTTCTCTCCCTTGCCTCTCTCCTTGAGGATAGTCACATCAAGAGTGAAATTTTACTTTTAGGCCATCTCCAGATAGATGATGGTTGTGCATGTTAGTCCTTGGAGGGTAATTAAATGCAACATCTGAAGGCTGTATTGTACTTCGTTCTCCCTCCATATGGCTAAACTTTCTTTTCCCATA